TTTGCTGTTAATTTGTTAGCAAGATATAGTTCTTCACCTACACGAAGACATTGGAATGGAGTTAAACAAATACTTCGTTATCTTAGAGGTACAATGGATATGGGGTTATTATATTCAAATGTTTCCAAACCAGAACTAAATGGTTATGCAGACGCAGGTTATTTGTCGGATCCTCATAATGGTAAATCACAAACAGGATATTTGTTTACAAGTGGTGGTACAGCCATTTCATGGCGATCTGTAAAACAAACCATATCAGCCACTTCATCTAATCATGCTGAAATTTTAGCATTACATGAGGCAAGTCGTGAATGTGTTTGGCTAAGATCTGTGATTCAACACATACGGGAAACTTGTGGTTTATCTTCTGGAAAAATGACATCGACAGTTATATATGAAGATAATGCTGCATGTATTGCACAATTGAAAGATGGATACATCAAGGGAGATAGAACAAAGCATATTCTACCAAAATTCTTTTTTACTCATGATCTTCAAAGGAATGGTGATATAAATGTTCAACAAGTCCGCTCAAGTGACAACTTAGCAGATCTCTTTACAAAGTCACGTCCAAGAAAAGTTTTTGAACAGTTGATACACAAGATTGGACTCCGTCGTCTTAAAGATTGTATGCATAAGGGGGAGAAATAAATATTTATGAATGATGTACTCTTTTTCCTTCACTAGGTTCTTATCCCACAGGGTTTTTCCTAGTAAGGTTTTAACGAGGCACATTCTAAATATTGGACATCCAAGGGGGAGTGTTATGAATAATAATTAGTGGCTTAATTAGTGGATGCCAATATTCATTATCAATCATTACCATTTATAACTTTGTCAAGAGACAAAATTTCAAAAAATAAGAGAAACTTTAGGAGTTCAAGAACAATATATTAAGGAGGAGAATGTTGAGTAATGTGTTGTCATAAGTGTTTAATGTTGTCATAATATAATGTTATATGTGCACTCATAAATCACATTTAGTAGTATTAACGTGACTCTCTTTACAATTCACAAAAAAAATGTAACTCTCTCTTCACATTTATACTTGTTATAACATTCTAAGAATTGATTTCGGTCTATAAATTACTGTAGAAAAAGTAGAAAAAAATATATAATAAAATTGAAAGCAATATTCGATCCCATATTATCTTTTTCTTATTCTAAATTTTCTTTGCACAATTTTACACAATTTTATAATAGTAAATTCCTTGAGTGTAACATCATCTAGCTAGAATGCTAGCTACCAGCAGTTATTGATACTTGGATCTAATTTGACCATAAAATTGAAGCTTGCCTTGGACAATCTAAATCATGGCATATATGAGCCGGTTACAGCCCGATTAATATTTGCAGATTTTAGTGAAAATTAACAATCTAGAAAATAATGGTCGAGGATCTTTTCACAATTT